ATAATGATAACACCTCATCCCATATGTTTGTAAAATACCTAAATTATCTTTTAAAGCCATGTAAGAAAGACGTAGTCGAACATGGCTGCCAACAGAGTTCTTTGATCACATTATCTCTTAATTAATTTTCTTATTGGGAATGACTGTGGGGAGGGGGAATTCTTGTCACCTCCTCCGTGGTTTCGACTTCTAACTAAACCTTATCCTAGACGGGCCGCCATCCAAGACTAGAGAGTTCAGTTTACCCAAATATTCAGCACAAAACAGCGGGAAGAAATTATGGAATTATACCTTTTCCATAGGCATTATTGCGAAAGTGGATCAAATGTCATGATATGTCATACAGGATGAAGGTGAGCGTACGTCTCTACAACACTAGTTCCTTTAAGTAAATGTTCGCGTCTCTGTTTAGTTATCCATTCACGCAAACTCGTTAAGTAGAACAACTAATATTTCTCTTTGTTTCGCTTCCCTAAAATAACGTTTCGCTTGTTTCGCTTCCTTAAAATACTGTTTCGTTTCCCTGAAATAACGTTTTGCTTCCCTAAAATAACGTTTAGCTTCCCTAAAACAAAGATTCGCTTCCCAAAAATAATGTTCCGCTTCCCGAACATAATGTTTCGCCTCCCTAAAATAATGTTTTGCTTCACTAAAATAAAGTTTCGCTTCCCTAAAATAATGCTCGCTTCCCTAAAATAATGTTCCGCTTCCCGAACATAATGTTTCGCCTCCCTAAAATAATGTTTCGCTCCCCTAAAATAAAGTTTCGCTTCCCTAAAGTAATGTTCCATTTCCCTGAAATAACGTTTCGCTTCCGTAAAATAATATTTCGCTTCCCCAAAATAATGTTTCGCTTCTTTCGCTTCCCTAAAATAATGTTTCGCTTCTATAAAATAATTTTTCGCACGTTTCGATTCCCTAAAATAATGTATCGCTTGTTTCGCTTCCTAAAATAAAGTATCACTTCCCTAAAATACTGTTTCGTTTCCCTGAAATAACGTTTTGCTTCCCTAAAATAACGTTTCGCTTCCCTAAAACAAAGATTCGCTTCTATAAAATAATGTTTCCCTTGTTTCGCTTCCTTAAAATAATGTTTCGCTTCTATAAAATAATGTTTGGCTTCCCTGAAATAACATTTCCCTTCTCCAAAATAATGTTTCGCTTGTTTCGCTTCCCTAAAATAATCTTTCGCTTTCCTGAAATAAAATTTCCCTTCTCTTAATGTTTCGCTTCCCTAAAATAATGTTTCGCTTCCCTAAAATAAAGTTTTGCTTCCCTAAAATAATGTTTCACTAGTTTCGCTTCCCTAAAATAATGTTTCCTTGTTTCGCTTCCTTAAAATAATGCTTCGCTTCACTAAAATAATGTTTCGATTGTTTCGCTTCCCTAAAATAATGTTTCCCTTGTTTCGCTTCCTTAAAATAATGTTTCGCTTCCCTAAAATTATGTTTCATTTCCTAAAACAATGTTTTCGCTTGTTTCGCTTCCCTTAAATAATGTTTGCTTTCGCTAACATAATGTTTCATTTCCCTAAAATAACCTTTCGCTTGTTTCGCTTCCCTAAAAATGTTTCGCTTCCCTAAAATTAACCTTTGTCTTGTTTCGCTTCCCTAAAATAATGTTTTGCTTCCCTAAAATAATGTTTCGCTTCCCTAAAATAAGGTTTCACTAGTTTCGCTTCCCTAAAATAATGTTTCCCTTGTTTCGCTTCCTTAAAATAATGTTTCGCTTCACTAAAATAATGTTTCGATTGTTTCGCTTCCCTAAAATAATGTTTCGCTTCTTTCGCTTCCCTGAAATAAAGATTCGCTTCACTAAATTATGTGTCGCTTGTTTCGCTTCCCTAAAGTAATGTATCGCTTTCCCCAAAATAATGTTTAGTTTGTTTCGCTTCCCTAAAATAATGTTTCGTTTCCCTGAAATAATATTTCGCATGTTTCGCTTCCCTAAAATAATGTTTCGCTTCACTAAATTAAAGTTCCGCTTCCCTAAAATAATATTTCGCTTGTTTCGCTTCCCTTAAAAAATGTTTCGCTTGTTTCGTTTCCCTAAATTAAAATTTCGTTTCCCTAAAATGCTGTTTCGCTTCCCTGAAATGACGTTTCGCTTCCCTTAAATAATGTTTCGCATCCCTAAATTAAAGTTTCGCTTCCCTAAAATAATGTTCGCTTCCCTAAAAGTAATGTTTCGTTTGTTTCCTTCCCTAAAATAAAGATTCGCTTCCCTAAAATAATGTTGCCCTTCCATAAAATAATGTTTCCCTTGTTTCGCTTCCATGAAATATTGTTTCGCTTCTATAAAAAAATGTTTGGCTCGTTTCGCTGCCCTAAAATAATAATTCGCTTCCCTAAAATAATGTTTCTCTTCCCTAAAATAATGTTTCGCTTAACTAAAATAAACCTTCGCTTGTTTCGCTTCCATGAAATAATGTCTCGTTTCCCTAAAATAATGTTTCGCTTGTTTTGCTTCCCTAAAATAATGTCTCGTTTCCCTAAAATAATGTTTCGCTCGTTTCACTTCCCTAAAATAAATTTCGCTCCCTAAAATGATGTTTCGCTTCCTTAATATAATGTTTCTTTTCCCTAAAATAAAGTTTCGCTTGTTTCGCTTCACTAAAATAATATTTCGCGTTTTTAGCTTCTCTAAAATACACTACGTGCCAAATTATTATCGAGATAACTTTTTTCTAATATTTCAAAAAGCGTCCAATCATTTCACACAAAATTTTCATACAATGTTGTCAACACTGGCCCGCGCAATCACTGACATTTTCGTACTGATCTGCGCAATGCAAACAAACTGGCGCCATATTTGTTATCGGCACGGTGATTTGGGCGTGCCAAATTATTAGAAAGGTTTAGTAAAATTCCCAGAATTGAACAAACAAAACGTTTATTAATGTTGCACGTGAATGTTTATGATCAAAAGAAGCTAATAAATAAGATAATCAAAGAAATAATAACAAACAAAGGAAAAAGGCACAGTTTTAAACAAATTAATAGGGAATGTGCTTTCCCTGTTTTGAAATTACTTGAAGAAGTCGGCGATCCATAGAATTTGTTAATTTTAGGATGTCATCTGCTGTAATGCCGCGAGATATGCTTCCCACAACTCAGCGTTGCTCCTGAATTGTCGTCCGTTGGCATACAGTCATCGCTTCATGATGCTCCAAAGGTTTTCGATTGGGTTCAAATCCGGAGAATTTGCTGGCCACTTCATTTTTCGAGGTCCAAGATGCTCCTTCATAAACGCTATGTATTTTTCATTTTTGACGGCATTTGGTACTCTCCATGGGCCCACTAATGTGTTTCCAATAATACCACCCCAGATCATTATGCCTCCACCGCCTTGTTGGCGTCTCAAACGCTGATGGCAATTCTGTCCGTTCATTGCCCAGCCTTTGCACCATCTATCTGGCCCATCAAGTGTTGCTCGAGTTTTGTCTGTGAACAAAACTTTAGAGAAGTCAATCTTCATATTGTCCTCGGCCCATTTCAATCGATTTTGAATGTGATTTCTCGTCAAAGGAGACTTCGATACAGGTTTGACTGTTGTTGCTATTTCCCTCAGATACCGACACCGAGTACTTTTAGACACAGTAGGATCCGCAATACGACTGAAAAGCTCTTGACTGGTAAGTCCAGGGTTATTCGTGGCCTCTAGTTTAAGTCATGACATGAGACGACGTGAAATAACCCTCGGCTTGCCTTTATCTGCCTGTTTGCGTACTTGTGTAGGGTCGGCGGTGAACTTTTTCACTGTTTAATGATACCTCCCTAACATTTTCGAAATTTCTAGGGTAGATTTACCTTTTGAGAGTTCTGAGGTGATAGTTTTCTTTTCAGCATCACTTAAACTGCTTTTACGACCCTTCTTTTCACTAAATTCTTACACTTTTCTAATAATTTGGCACGCTCAAATCACCATGCTGATAACAAATATGGCGCTAGTTTATTTACATTGCGCAGATCAGTACAAAAATCTCAGTGATTGCGCAGGGCAGTGTTGCCGACATTGTGTGAAAATTTTGTGCGAATTGATTGGACAGTTTTTGAAATATTAGAAAAAAGTTATTTCGATAATAATTTGGCACGCAGTGTAATGTTTCGCTTTTTACGCTTCCCTAAATAATGTTTTGCTTCCCTAAAATAATGTTTCGCTTCCCTAAAATAATGTTTCGCTTCACTAAAATAATATTTCACTTCCCTAAAATAATGTTTCGTTTCCTTAATATAATGTTTCGCTTCCCTAAAATAATGTTTCGCTTCCCTAAAATAATGTTTTGCTTCCCTAAAATAATGTTTCGCTTCCCTAAAATAATGTTTTGCTTCCCTAAAATAATGTTTCGCTTCCTTAAAATAATGTTTTGCTTCCCTAAAATAATGTTTCGCTTCCCTAAAATAATGTTTCGCTTTCCTAAAATAATGCCCTGTGAGTGCTAAATTCTCTAGGTACTGTTTCCCCCATTTTATATCTTTCAAGACAGGACCTTCAATGTAGACCTGTTTAACTAGAGGAATCAAGACTTTCCTCATACAGTCTCAGTTGCGGTGAACTGGCCATGACTTGAGAATGTCTGATGACAGGATACCCATGTCATTCACGGTTAGATGATCCAGTTTACCCTATAATTTCACCCCTAACTGAGGATCAAATACGGTAACATTTCGTGTCTGAGTTTTCGGAGGGGTTAGGCAAGGGAGAATACAGAGGGAGCAATTCATAGTTAGGCTAGATGCTAGAATCCCGTCTTTCTCAATGCATTTGTGTGAAACTGAATGCAGCAGCTTCGTCCGGAATTTGATCCCCTCTCGTTGATTCCATTTTCCGCGACGTTGCAAATTCTGCGATACCAACATTAAAACAGGAAAGAACTGAAATCTGCCAGACGAGTTTCACTTTCTTATTTCAGTAAGTGTATTCGTCACCTTACCATAACCAGCACATCGACACAAGTAATCCGAGCTTGTGAGTGGTCTTAGCCACGATAAGGACAGTTAATGGAACGATGGGAGAATGGGCGTTGGCTGGCTGGCTGGCTGGTTGGTTGGTTGGCTGGCTGGGTGCGGTTAGTGTGGAGGTAAGGGCTTTGCCGTAGTTGATAGCTTTAAGTCTTTTTAAGCGGGATCTTTTGAGCACTTCAGTAAGCCAAATGTAGACTAGGGAAGAAAGACTTTATGGCTCTGGTAAACCGAGCAAGGTGAATGACTCAAAATGGGTGCCTCTAATCGGAGACTGGACATCGTATCAAGTGATGAAAAACGACAGGCTCTCTTTTCTTCTTTTTTTTTTTCATTTTAAGCGTCTCTCCATTGCCTTATTTTCTTTCTTCATTGCTTAATTTTCGTTTGTTCGTTCGTTCGCTCGTTCTTTCTTTCTTTCTTTCTTTCTTTGATTTTAATTCTCTCTTCATTGCTTCATTTTTTCTTTCTTTGTTTTTCTTTCTTTCTTTCTTTCTTTCTTTCTTTCTTTCTTTCTTTCTTTCTTTCCTTTTCTTTCTTTCTTTGATTTTTAACCTCTCTTCATTGCTTCATTTTTCTTTTCTTTCTTTCTTTCTTTCTTTCTTTCTTTCTTTTTTTCTTTCTTTGATTTTAATTCTCTCTTCATTGCTTCATTTTTTCTTTAATTCTTTCTTTCTTTCTTTCCTTTTCTTTCTTTCTTTCTTTGATTTTTAACCTCTCTTCATTGCTTCATTTTTCTTTCTTTCTTTCTTTCTTTCTTTCTTTCTTTGATTTTAATTCTCTCTACATTGCTTCATTTTTTCTTTCTTTCTTTCTTTCTTTCCTTTTCTTTCTTTCTTTCTTTGATTTTTAACCTCTCTTCATTGCTTCATTTTTCTTTCTTTCTTTCTTTCTTTCTTTGATTTTAATTCTCTCTTCATTGCTTCATTTTTTCTTTCTTTCTTTCTTTCTTTCCTTTTCTTTCTTTCTTTCTTTCTTTCTTTCTTTGATTTTTAACCTCTCTTCATTGCTTCATTTTTCTTTCTTTCTTTCTTTCTTTGATTTTAATTCTCTCTTCATTGCTTCATTTTTTCTTTCTTTCTTTCTTTCTTTCTTTCTTTCTTTCTTTCCTTTTCTTTCTTTCTTTCTTTCCTTTTCTTTCTTTCTTTCTTTCTTTGATTTTTAACCTCTCTTCATTGCTTCATTTTTCTTTCTTTCTTTCTTTCTTTGATTTTAATTCTCTCTTCATTGCTTCATTTTTTCTTTCTTTCTTTCTTTCTTTCTTTCTTTCTTTCCTTTTCTTTCTTTCTTTCTTTCTTTGATTTTTAACCTCTCTTCATTGTTTCATTTTTCTTTCTTTCTTTCTTTCTTTCTTTCTATCTATCTTTCTTTCTTTCTTTCTTTCTTTCTTTGATTTTAATTCTCTCTTCATTGCTTCATTTTTTCTTTCTTTCTTTCTTTCTTTCTTTCCTTTTCTTTCTTTCCTTCTTTCTTTCCTTTTCTTTCTTTCTTTCTTTCTTTCCTTTTCTTTCTTTCTTTCTTTCTTTCTTTCCTTTTCTTTCTTTCTTTCTTTCTTTCTTTCTTTCTTTCTTTGATTTTTAACCTCTCTTCATTGCTTCATTTTTCTTTCTTTCTTTCTTTCTTTCTTTCTTTCTTTCTTTCTTTCTTTGATTTTAATTCTCTCTTCATTGCTTCATTTTTTCTTTCTATCTTTCTTTCTTTCCTTTTCTTTCTTTCTTTCCTTTTCTTTCTTTCTTTCCTTTTTTTTCTTTCCTTTTCTTTCTTTCTTTCTTTCTTTCTTTCCTTTTCTTTCTTTCCTTTTCTTTCTTTCTTTCTTTCTTTGATTTTAACCTCTCTTCATTGCTTCATTTTTCTTTCTTTCTTTCTTTGATTTTAATTCTCTCTTCATTGCTTCATTTTTTCTTTCTATCTTTCTATCTTTCTTTCTTTCTTTCTTTCTTTCTTTCCTTTTCTTTCTTTCTTTCTTTCTTTCTTTGATTTTAATTCTCTCTTCATTGCTTCATTTTTCTTTCTATCTTTCTTTCTTTCTTTCTTTCTTTCTTTCTTTCATTTTAATCCGCTTTTCGTTGTCTTATTTTCTATCTTCGTTTCGTTCGTGCTTTCATTTCTTTCATTTTTATCTTCATTGCTTTATTTTCTTTCTTTCTTTCTTTCTTTCTTTATTTATTTATTTATTTATTTCTTCGACTTTAATTCTCTCTTCGTTGTTTTACTTTCTCCGTTTCCATTTTATTTATTTATTTCTCCTATTCCATGGCCTTATTTTCTCTTATCATTGTCTATTTTTCTTTCTTTCATTTTAATTCTCCCTTCATTGAATGTTTTCTGTCTTTAAATTTGCTTGTCTTTTCTTTTCATTTTCCTTTATTCTTTCTTTCCTCGTTTCGCCTTACTAAACTCATTATTTTTCTCTGGTTTTCTCTGTCTTTTCATTTTTCTTTTTTTCTTTTTACTTTGCCCTCATATCATGAAATTTACTTGATTTCTCAAATTTGGTTTTGGCTCACTAACAAATCAGAGCAATGACAAGAAAGAAATCCGAAGACACAGCTTAAGTTACAGATATTTGAGCATTCCTACGCATATACACGAAGAAAGGCCTTTTAAATGCCACCTTTTGGGTCCTGTGGTAATGCAGTCATAGTGAATGCCTTTAGGGCTAGGGTACGCCGGGTGAGCTGAGTGACAGGAATGGTTGACTCTAATCAGCGACTGGACATTGTATCAAATGATGAAAAGCGACAGGTTCGCCTTGTGTTATGAATTTCGAGGCTCGTCATCATTTTTAGCATTTGTGGGGCTGGGATACGTGATTGTGTGGTGTCGGGGTTGTGTCGTGAGGTTCCGATGACAGATACATTCGGACGAATGGTTGTTTAATCGCAGAAAAAAAAGGACAAATCCTTGTTTGTTCGGTTCTTTCTTTCTTTCTTTCTTTCTTTCTTTCTTTCTTTCTTTCTTAACAATTTTCCTCCCCGTTCTTTTTCTGTTTTTCATTTTACTCTTACTTAACCTATTTTACTTTCTTTCTTTCTTTCTTTCTTTCTTTCTTTCTTTCTTTCTTTCTTTCTTTCTTATTCCATGCTATCTCTCTTTCAATTTTTCTTATTCCATGCTTTCTTCTTTCTTTCTTTCTTTGTTTCTTTCTTTCTTTCTTTCTTTCTTATTCCATGGTCTCTTTCGTTCTTATCCCATATTTTCTCTCTCCTTTTCTTTCTTTATTTATTTCTTTCTTTCTTCTCTGTTTTTTCATTTCCACTTACTCTCACCATTCTTTCTTATTTAGATTCTTTCTTTCTTTCTTTCTTTCTTTCTTTCTTTCATTTCCTTTCCTTTTTTGCCTCTACTTCATTTTTCTCCTTCATTCATTCGCCATTAAAAAATATATTCACGTGTTTTCTTTTCTTTCTACACCATTTTTCGCTTCAGTCTTACCACTACGCTGCATCCAAAATCTCTGTTTTATTTATTTATACAGATTTAATGTTTCTATAAAGCTTTTTGTAGTCAGTTCCGGATATAAACTTGGTGAATTCCTAAACCAAGAACTCTCCAGCCCTTCCCCACACGTACTTTTCGACCTGGCCGAATGTGTTGACGTGTCCTTTGAAAAAACGTTTCGAGTTATAGATAACTCTAAAATATTTTTTCTTGATACTAGTGGGTTGTCCGGTGCCACATTTTAAAATTAATTTTCCATCTTTTTCACGAACACAGACATGTAAAAATACATTATTTGTTTCTTAGATTATATTTATTTCTCCAAATAACAAACATTAATCGTATTATTCGTTTGGCATGAATGTGGTGGTAGCCTGCAAGATGGCGTCGAATGGGTCGACTCCATCGGGAAGTTGCCTTCTTCACATGAATTCGGTCTCAAGATGGTGTCGTGCCGTTACTCGGTAATGCTTGTTTCTCCATTTTGCTGATCCCTACAAATGTTTGATATTTTGAGTGTGGCCCATCGAAATGGTATCGATGACTAAACTTGAAATGTTGGAAGCCAGCCTCGTCGAGCTCGGTGGTTTATAGAGATTTTTCCACGCGTAGCTTAGATGTGGCACAAGGCCGATAGTATGGGGTACCCAGTGAGGATCGAAATCACGACTCAGTCGTGATTGTTCTAGCAGGACAAACTTACTAACCACCGCCTCGAGAAGCCTCCGGTGGTCTTATATCCTAGCCAGCTAAAAAACGGCGGCTGAAAACCCAGAAATATCTTAGTCTTTTCATTTATTTAAAGGCATGTTCCTTGAGGACTTACCGATCATAGCTTTCTCCAGATTTCTTTTTTTTACCGTATATACTCGAGTATAAGGCGAGTTTTATGGTCAGTTCTTTTTAGCGCAATTTATACGACGTCGCACTATATACAGGTCATTTTTTTGTAGAGGTTAAAAATCAGACATTTTCGGTGATCGGTTGCAAAAAAATGCCAAAAATTCCGGTGTCGCACTATACGTAAAGTCGGCTTATACATTAGTTCAGGGTCGGTGCATACTACTCCCCGAACCTTCCGACCGGGTGGAGGAGAGCCTGATTGGGGACCCTGTGAAGTGCTTTGTAACACACATACACACACACACACATGTATATATATATATATATATATATATATATATATATATATATACACACACATGATATATATATATATATATATATATATAGATAGATAGATAGATAGATAGATGATATACATATATATATATATATATAGATGATATATATATATATATACACATATATATATATATATATATTTATTATGTGTCTATATATATATACACACATAATATATATATATATATATATATATATATATATATATATATATATATATATATATATATATATATAAAATATGTGAAAATATATAGAAAATAGGAAGGAACTGGTTAGGTAAATAATCCAAAGTCCCTTAGTATTTTAGTTATTATTTTTAAAAAAATAGTGCTCGATACAAAAGTAGAGCATAAATATAGTTATTTATTTAAAAATATGATTCCAAAACGCGACATAAGAAGTCTCATGTTTCAAAACAAGAGCCGAAAACTTCAATATAATTATTTAAATTAAATTGATATAAAATAAGCTAAATTTCAGATATACGTTATTCCAAAAAAAATTACACGTAAATTAACACATAAATTTCAGATATACGTTATTCCAAAAAAAAATTTCGCTTGAAGATGGAACAGAGCTTATTTTAACTCAATTTAATTTAAATAATTATATTGAAGTCTTCGGCTCTTGTTTTGAAACATGAGACTTCTTATGTCGCGTTTTGGAATCATATTTTTAAATAAATAATTATATATATATATATATATATATATATATACGCGTTACAAATTAAACCAACTGACCCATAAAGGATGAAAAATTTTCGCTGATTTTAACGTCACTCTGTGTTCTTGTTTTTCGTCCAAATCCGTGAATTTGTTTCGCTCGTGCTAAGTCTCGGAAAAAAACGCTAAATAAAATTCACTATTTTTTTTTATCCATAATGTTGAATGTGTTAAATAATTCAACTTTTTAACAAGAAAACTCTCAAGCTGATGTTAAAAAATGCCGCAAAACATTGTTGATTGAAGACGGAATGATCTACTATGACAGTTACCTAATCTGTATTTAGATGCATTGTATTTATTTAAATTTTTTCTATTTGAATTTTTCACCTATATTGCATATGATCCATTATTGTACATTAGGTTACAATAAAATCTGTATTTTATATGAATATTATCTTTAAGATGCAGTAGAATAAAGGGTGGCGTATCATAGATTCGAGGTGGGACATCAGACCCTTGCACCGGCCCTGAATAGATATATTATTTTCTGATCTCAGCTAGTATATTCTTCGACGAAGAGCCTTATTGCCAGTATCTTATAGCGATTTACTAAGCGTAGATATGACACAAGACCGAAAGTATAGGGCACCCAGTGTGGATCAAACTCACTTTTCAGTCGTAATTGATCAAACGAGACACGTTGGGGTTGCCCTGGAATTGTCTTTTATGACAGGTCTCTAAATTGGATTTAGATACATTGTATTTATTTTCGATTTTTCTAGTTGAATTGTTCACCTATATTGCATATAATCCATTATTGTACATAATTAGCTTACAATAAAATTTGCATTTTATATGAATACTAACTTATGATGAGAGTAACTAACATATGTAGTAGAGCGGGACCCCCGTACCATAGATTCGGGTGGGTATCATAGATTCGGGTGGGTATCATAGATTCGGGTGGGTATCATAGATTCGGGGTGGCGCGGCACGAGACACTTGCATCGACCATGCACGAGAGATACACGCTTAGGTGATCATGTATCTTTCGATACATGACTATTATATTCTTCGATGAATAGCATTATTGCCAGTATCTTATAGCGATTTACTAAACGTAGATATGGCACAAGGCCGAAAGTATAGGGCACCCAGTGAGGATCGAATTCACTGTTCATCGTAATTGATCTAGCGAGACAAGCTTACACCACATTGAAGTGCCCTGGAATGATCTATTATGCACGAGAGATACACGCTTAGGTGATCATGTATCTTTCGATACATGACTGACGAGGCATATTTTTTTCCTCACAGTAGGTTGCCGTTTCTTTCTGCGGTAGACCAGCTGCCTTCCAAGGCAATAGAACCCGGTCTGTCCTGCTATTTACCCATAGTGGGGGGGGAGAGGAAGAGGATTCATACTTTTTCCCAAGTGGATGTAACTGATTTGACACGGCTCTCCAATTCCTCAATCCCAGCCGCTATCCATTACTCCACCGTGTCAAATACGCTTGCGTTATTTATCACAATAGTATCAATTTCAAATGTGCAGTGCTCTTGACCAATCAAGCATCGGTAATCGTTTAATTGGCATTTCAGTTTTCATTGGATAACTGGCACAGTGGCACGTGCTCACTGTCAAGTTGAATGCGTCACCGAAAGCCGAAGTACTCTATCTTCGACATCAGAAGATAAAAAATAGATTTAAAAAAAAAATTATCCTTCTTTATTTTTTTTTCTCGTCCTTTAAGATGTCTGAAGCGTAAAGAGATTGTCATACACAGCTAAATTTTAAATTAAGTGTGGTTAATTATACAAAACGATTTACGGTATTTTTTTTATTTTTAATGTTTTGAACTCTTTTGTGTTTATGCACTAATTTATAAAGTATCATACGAAATATTTTAACAGTGGACGAAAATTACGACATCAAAACCCGAAGGGACATTGTAATTGGGAAAGATGCCTTTCAGAAGTTAAGCAAAATATTAAGAAACAAAATAATTTCGTTAGAATAAAAGACTTGACTGTTACGTAATATCAGTTCTACTATATCGACTATTTCTTAACAAATGAAGAAGAGACTCGAGTCAACAGAAATGTGTTTCTACAGAAGGATGCCGTGAATATCATGGACTGAACATAGACAAAGTTTTAAGTTAAATGGAAACAAAAAGAGCACTTAAACTTTGAATCAGAAAGAAAAGATTGAAATTTGTTTAACTAATGGGTAAAGAAGGCATTGAAAATTTAACACCCAAGACATATTGAAGGCAAGAGGGACAGAGGAATGTAGCGAATAGTCTACCTAACGATCTTGGTATTCGGAGATAAAGCTTAGTCTAACTAAGGAGCTTGGGATTTGGAGACGAATTTTAGTCTACCTAACAAGCTTGGGATTTGGAGACAAATTTTAGTCTACCGAAAGAGCTTGGGATTTGGAGACAAACCTTACTCTACCTAACGAGCTTGGGATTTGGAGACAAATTTTAGTCTACCTAACGAGCTTGGGATTTGGAGACAAACCTTGCTACACAGAATGGCAAGAGACACGGCACACTGAAGAAGAATGGTTTTTTACTTACCCTGTTTACATTGTTCGGACTCTTGCTATATTCACGACGTTTCGGCCGTTGTACGCCCCGACCATCGTTATCTCCCTTTAACTCAACTCTGTAAGTTTTTGTTCATCACTGCAGTGGTCAGGCATTGAACTCGCAACTTTTTGGGTCAAGTCACTCAATCCAACCCACGCTTTTAACCACTAGGCCATCACTGTATTCATTTTTGGGACTTATAAACTTAATGTCTCAGTAATCATTTTTTACCAGCACTCATATTACAATTTTTATTATTATTTCTTTTCTCTAGCATTACTTATTACTGGTTTCCATATTGTATTCATTTTTATGTTTGGTCGGCTCAGGAGATTTTTATGGCCTAGCATATATGCTGATTCCTTAAGTTTTTGTATTTTTCCGTGATGCCTTCTGTCTATTATTTCAACCTCATCCAACAAGTGGTGGTGATCTCATTTTTCCCTCCATATGTGGTCAGCTACGCCTGATTTCCCCTTGTGTTACGGGTTTAAGATATTCTTGCAGTCTTACCTTAAGAGGCGGTCTGTTTCGCCTTTATATTTCTTACTACAGCTGCACGGGATGGCGTACAGACAGTTCTTAATCATGTTTTTTC